TTCGATGGGCTGAATTGCACAAAACGCATGACCGCACCGGCTAGTCTGGTGCGCGTTACCATTTATTGAGTTTATCACCAGGTTCTTTCGATCTATACCCTAATATTACTTGGATGTTCTGACGCAGAACTACTGCAAGTCGCTTAATATTGCTAAAATGTGTCCGATATTTCGTAATTTGGGCAGTCGCTATGGGGCTTCCAAATGCATTGCGCGCTTAGTTAATGTCGAAATTCTCAATGCTATGAAAATGCAAGAACTGGCACTGCATCTTCATTTTGTTGGAGCGAAGCCCACGGTGTTAGTGGGACGCATTTGGTTTTGAAATTAGTGCAAGCATTACTTTGGGTACGAAATAGAACGAGTTTCTTTCCCTTAATCTAGTCTTAAAAACAAATTCTTAACGATGCACATCTTAATGGCTGTACACTGATGATTCCCGCTCCTACCCACACAAATGGCCGTGTCTGTAATTACGGCTACGGGATAAAACACAGATTGCACCATAATTTGATCATCAATGCATACTTTACTCAGCTCGTATCAAGTAGTTTTTAAAACACGAAAATAATTTAGAAATAAATAAATAAAAATACAAAATGTAGTTTAGAACTTGACAGTTTTGATCTAAATTTGGACTTTTTCTTCCAGAGATATTTAGACCTCAAAATTACTCTGTTATATATACGATATGCATGTTGCTAGAGTCTGTTACGGTAACGAATTTTATTAATATTGCTAAAATTCAGTTTTCTGATTGCAGTGCATCCGCTTTTCCCGATGTGTAATCGTAATCCATCGTTGAGCGAAATGAAATTTGCTGCTGCCAACACATTGAGCCTGGAGCGCCAAATCCATCAGCTACAGGATATAATCCCAGGATTTATTCAATTTTCACGTGCTTATGAGCGAAAATTGAAGAGCGACACGGAGTCCATGATGAACGAATTCAAATTTGCGAAACGTTTAGCCGACTCAATGCAAATTCAGTCGAGAGCTCTTGGATTAAGCAAGGAAACAGTGGAAGAACGAAAAGCTGTCGAGAATAACGCACATTTAGTGATCCGAGAGCTCAGCTCTATTGGAGGTAAATTCCTAAATTAAGATACTCTTACCTATATGAATACTAGAACAGCTATTTATCATCGACGTTCGTTATCGCGCCATTAAAACGCTCAATTTAGAAAAATGGAAGTATCAGATTCCTTAAAATTTAGCTTCTCCTTTTATGACTGACTTTATCTTCCCAGTATAAAAGATAAGGTCGATAAAAAAATCCTAAAATTTTTACCTATTTTTGATTAAAAAAAAAGCGAAGGAAAGAGATTGTTGTTATAGCAGTGTTGTAATGAATTTTAAAACTAATTGGTTAGCTTTTTAGAGACGATAAATTCGTTGAGCAGAAAACTGGAAGAAATAGCGGCATTTCTTGATCGTGTTCAACTGAAACCTGTGGTCAAGGAACCGTCTGTGAAAATTGAACTTGAAACAGTAATTGTAAGTGTTTTTTTTTTTGGTACACAAGCCAAGGCCCTCTTGAACTGTGTACTTTATGACTGGTAGTGAGTTTTGAAAAATATAATTCGAAATTAAAAAATTTTCTTGAGCTTTTCATGCTCCAAAATCTTACCGTAGCTATAAGTAGGATTTTTTACATTTCAGATTCTGCTTTATGTTGTTGTGTGGATTTTTTTTTTTTTTTTTTTTTTTTCAGAAATTACGAACAAGCGCACGTTCCAACAGAACACCAGAAGATGCTATGTTAATGGAAACGGATAGGTAAGAAGCTGTTTGTGAGGGCAACTAAATAACGATACAGCAAACTACTGAACAATAATTTTGACCAAAGTAAAATTCGTCGTTGGCCAGGAATACTATCCATTTTGCTTGCAATTGCTCCTCCTTGCGTTTCACTGGGTGGGATCGACGAGAAAGAAAAAAAAAAACTTAAGTCCTTCAAAAAAGGTCGCGCATATATATGTTAACTGCTGATATGTAGCTCATCCTTTTTCTTTATCGGATGCGAAATTGCTCATTTTTAAAAAAAAAATATGTCGAAATTGGATCGATAGATACTAAAAACAAATGGGATACAATGTTTTGCCTGAAAAAAGTAGGGAATTGAATCCAGAACGGCTAAATTTTCCCAACCTAGTACAAATTAGAAATCGAAACAGGGAATTAATGGCGAAGAATAATATTTAGACTGCCGCCTCAATCATTATCGGAGACGTTTCATTTGGTTTTTGCAGGAAGTATCTACTCAATACATTTGAAAAAACACTGAAAAGCTATGAGGAAAAAGCAGGCGAATTTTACAATGCCTATTTCGCAGGATTGGAATTCATACTTAGGTATGCTTTTTATATTTAACATCACGCTTGGCTGGGATTTACAGGGTTAACATCTCTACTTAAAATTGGCTTTCTTTTGTTATGATATTTCTCGGATTTTTACTTAAACTGCACATTTTTCTGTAATGGTACTTCTAAGATTCACGCAAAATATGAATATATTTTTGCATCTTTTTTTAGGAACACATTTGATTTATCCAGAGAATTAAGCCGGACGAAGAAACAGTTACAGGAAAGCCTACAGCTGATTGGTATCACTGAAGAAACGAACCTGGTAAGTACGATCATTTTATTAGTCCAGTGTATGAATGCTGTTGATTGAACAGAGATATCTGTTGTGAGCAAGGCACATTATTGGAAGATATTCACGAAATATTAAAGGGGAGCAAAGAGATAGCCGTTACATAATATCACATAATATTTCACATAATGATTTATGGGTTTTTGTGTTTGTACGGGGACGGTCCTGTCTTTCGTTTGTGAGGATGTCATTTCACTTGAACGCCTCTTTATGGAAATTGCCAACTACATCAACGGTGGAAAGAAACGCGAGGATGAAATACCTGAATCAAAATATTAAAGCATATCTTCAGGTAGTTGTAGATGCGTGAGCAACATAGGGCAAACATACAGAAGGATGGTTTTTGAGTAAGAAAAGGATAGGTAAATCAATAGATAGAAAAAAATCATTGGAATAACTCTTCAAAATAGACATAGAATTTCGAAGGTCGCTTTTAAAAATGCTTTTTTGGGATTAACAATACAACAAATTGGCATAAGAATGATTTGTAATGAAACTGTTTTGCATTATGCTGTAATATATTTCTCTCAACAAGTTATAAATCCTTTATAAGTTATAAATTCCTTATACTGCTGGCACAATATATACAATATGATTTACTACGTTGTCAGTGAATCGTATGTTAAGTGCCTGGTTAAAACATTTCATCAAACAAAAGGAGTATCCATGGGAGGCAATGCAAGTCCAGATATCGCTGACTTAACTTTAACTATCTTAGAATGATAAAAGAATAGAATTTAGCGGGATAAAAGAATTTATTGCATAAAAAAAAATAGTTGATACAACACAATACAGCTGTAGCCCGATTTATAGTTTTACGCTTATGTACATACGTTTGTCGTCTAGTCTTGTTTGAGTGGCTTTGAGTGGCCTTTTTCTCGTTCGTTTTTGCTCTTTAGACTGACAGGCTCGAAAATACCTTTATTGAAGTAATGTTGTTAGTTTTAACGGAGCAAGACTAATTATTGTGATAATTTTAGTGATGCTTTGGAGTAGAGTATTAGCAAAAATCTTCAGTTTTCTTTAATTTTGGTTCTCCCAGCAAATTTTCATCTTTCAGCATCGTTTGGAAACAGTTAAGGCGGAGAAGGAAGGTACGAATTATATATCAGCTGAATTCAATGCTGATCTCTCCATAACGTAAGTTCTTCAGCTATTTTGATCCATTAATTAGCACATTTCTAATGGCGTACCCTGTTTAATTCGAGGAACAAGTCAAACTGCAATTACTAAAATTCGGCTTGGCTCGGCCGTTACTCGTAATTTCTTCGCTAACACTATTTCGCGGCAGACTCTCCGTTTTCTCCTGGCACTCTGTCCGCGACATCAAGCGTTCTATGCCACAGCTGGGTATGTACACGTGAAAATCGCTCGCAGATAGTGTATGATACTGGCCTAACAGAGCCGAGTTTTAGTAATTGCCAATCAAACTACCATTTTGCTTACAGCTTGAAAGAATTGGAACAACATGCAAAACAGCAGAAAATGAAAGCGGCTAATTCACTGGAAGCTACAAAACAGTGGCTTTGTCTTCTAGATACGTAAGTGAATTTTTTTAATGTTTGGTGCTGTCTTTAGCCGTTAATTTGTCTTTTTTTCTCCCTCTCTCTTTCGTTGCTCTTTCCTTTCCTCATTGTTTTACCGCATTGCCGACAAATGTCTCGTACCATTGAGTGATGTCTGCGTGTAAGTAAACGACCATACGACCGCCTTGCTCGACCACACGGGCGCTTTCCTCCGAAGAAGTGTTGTACATACATCGAACAGGCGGTGGGTATTAGTTGCAGATACGTAGCCCGAGATCGAAGAACTTCCTGCATAGCTGTACATGGCAAGTGGCAGTATTCCGGTAACCCCATTTGTAGGGTATTTACAACGATTATCCGGGCAGTCTTGGATTTTTGATGACAAAAAAAAACCCCGGCAAAAGCCGAAACTTATGTGCTAAACTAACGTGAAAACTTGAACACATTGGCAAAATGATATTTACAATGGAGCACTGGTGTTTACTTTCGGTTCTTTATTACTCACATTCCATGGCAAATTGGTACTGGTGCATATTAGGAAGAACCAAACTCGCCATCAACTTACTTCTAAGTAGTCCTCAGAAGAAAGAACAGTTATGAGTCTTGCCAACGAATGTTTGGTGTTTGAAAGACGGGGATGGGGAGGGGGTTCTTCCAAGTGGTCCGTACCACTCGAAGGTTTTTTTGATTTTAATTAATGAAAGTGACGTTTTGTTGTGGCAGAGCAATGGAATATAGCAGTAAAAAGTGTTGTTTGTTGGCGTTCTTGAATAGGCGACATTATGATCTCCTCAGACTGTCCTTAGGGCTTGTGTCCCAAAAATAAATGACCATCAGACAATCCCTTACTGGAACGCGTAGTGCTGGCATGCAGTTGCTGATTACCACCTCGCTCAACGGAACACACTGTTAAGTCGGAAATCTGCGGCGAAAAATTTGCCAAACCTCGGTTTTATCTCACAACTGGTCACGAAGTTTTCAGGTGCTGTGTGAAATAGAAGATTGCCTAGGAGCTAAAAACAACAGAATTCAGGATTATGTAGTAAAATAGTTTATTGTGATTGACTGATTTAAGTAGAACTCACGAATTCCGGCTGTGTGACTATCGAGCTACCAGTGTTTTTAGTTCATATTACAGCTAACATATGAGTAAATCAGTGAGTTTCACTAAATTTTTTGGAAAACGATTATTTGGATCCTAGAAAACACATTTCATTAACTTAGGATCTCTCTCTCTCTCCCTCTCTTTCTCAACTGCAGAACTACTGACCAGATTAAGATATCCCAGTTGTTGAATTTTCTGATGAGAGAAATATGAAATTTCTAAATAACTACAAAGTGCAAAGATAAAAAAATTTTTATAAATGCGGTTTTTTCGTTTTGGATAATTTAATTTTTTGTTATCTTATCACTTCCCTGAAATATTTTTACCTGTAATACTGGCGGGCATGGCGCAATGGGGAGTAGCACTACTGTTGTGCATGAAGATCGACTCGGCCGAGTAGACAGCAACCAGTCCCTCTGCGATTGTTCATTCATTTCGATGATAAATTGATCCTGGTATATCTTAGATAGTGAAACTCGCCATCAGTTTGTTTTTGAGCAACCTTTGGAAGTGGAAGCCATAGCTCTGCCAGCGGGTGATTGCTTTTGCCATTTGCTTTCACTCGGATTGCTTCTCGGGTGCCACCACATTTCGTAGAGGGAAATCACTGGTCCATGTACTTCCCACTCCACCGTTTTTTCCATTTTTTTTTTT